GCTGACCCCTGTGGCTCTTGTGACAGCGGTGAGCTCCGTGGCACAACTCCCACCCCACCTGCGTGGGATTCGGCCGCCCACTCCCAGCCCCACCACCGCAGCCGTGGGCAGCCCAGGGCAGGGCCAACCCCACAGGCCTTTCTGGAGCAGATGGCCCTGACGCGGGGAGGACGGAGGCGGCTCAGTGCGTCCTTTCTTTCATGCAAACACAGCGTGACTCCCCCGGCAGCTCCTGCTCTGGGAGGGAGGTGCCGTTGGGGCCAACGCTGGCGGTACATTTTACAAGGGTTCAGCTAGCTTAGTCCTTGGGGACAGGCGACTCAGGCAGATTAGACCTCACTAAAATAGGTAGGTATTAGTGATCTCAGCAGCCCCCAGCCTTCCGGCGCAGCGGTGTTTAAGCCAGTGCCGCTGCCGAATGCCCGGGAGCAGGGGCAAGAGGCAGCGGGGCACCCTGGCCCTGGCCAAAGGGACCCCCTCGCTGCCTGCGCTGGCAGGGGGATGCTTGAGGGGGGGTTCAATGCTGCCACACCACCCCGCCAGTGCTGCCCCCAAGGGATGCCCCGGGGAGGGGGGGGGCACTGGGTCCCACTGGCTCCCGTGCAGTGCTGGGGTGTGGCTGTGCCTGGGGGCTGCTGCAGAAGGGGGATACTGATCCAGCAGCCAAATTTAATGGGGTGGGTGCTGTCTTGAGGGCATGTGGAGCAGCCCTACTGCAGCGGTGTCATTGTGTCCCCCCCACCTGCCCAGGACAGGGTTTGTGCAGACGATGGGTATGGCAGGAAGACCAGACTGGTGCTGGCAAATGGTTTATTGAGCCAAATGGTGCGCGAGGTCCTGGGGCTGATTCCTGGGGGTGATGGAGCGTCAGGGACCATCGCCCGCCCTGTCTGGGGGCTCACACCAGGGGCACTGCGGGGAGGGGCTTGGCCAGCACAGCTGGAGGGGACCCAGGCGTCCTGCATCCCAGCACCGACCCAGCGCACCCCGGAAAAGCAACAGGGAATGGTTTTGGGGAGGAAAACCCACCCCCAGCACATGTATTGTGACCCCTACCCCCAGGTAGTGGCAACCGTAACACCCGCATCCCATTGCTCCCAGGGGGGGGGGGGGGGGGGGGGGGGGGGGCAGGGGCTGAGCCCCAGTGCTGCCGGTGCCACCCGCCAGCAGGGTGGGCAGTGATGCTACATCAGGGCGCACTTCTCCTTCACCTCATCCACGCTGCCCAGAGCACGGTCCTGCAGCGCCGGCAGGTCCACCTCCCGCAGCTTTGTCAGGAAAGCGAAGGCCCCGGCGCCACCTCCCTCCTCCTCCTCCTCCTCCTCACTCTGCACCATGGCAGCCAGCTCCTGCGGCAGCTCCACCGCGCTGCCAGCCACGTGCAGCTGAGCATCATCCCGCTCGTCCTGCATATGGGTGGGAGACAGCGTCGGGGTTGTGGGCAGACCTGGGCACCCATCAGCCATGGGGTGGGGGACGGGGGAGAGCAGGTCCCTCAGGGCCAGCCGGGCACTGTAGGGGTGTTGGGGATGATGGGGGGGACGCCAGGACTGTCCAGTTCCAGATTCGGACGGCTGGACAGACACGTGGGCGGGCAGATGGTGCAGACGGAGACAGCAGCCGTTTGCTGCCCTCTTCAGGAATCATCTTCCATCCTGGGGAAGGCCTGGCAGCCGCCCGGCCTGGGGCTGTCCCGGAGGACGGAGGATCCAGGGGAAGACCCACCGAGGTCCCACCGCGGGCGGGCTGGTCCTTACCTGGGCCAGGTGGTACTTGTCCCGCAGGTGTATCCGCACAGTGACCCTTTCTGCCTTCCTCTGCGCAAAGGCCTTGTCCCGCTCGATCCTGCAGCAGCAGGCACCACACTGTCACCCCCTGCCTCACCAAGCCCCCCCCCAGCATCACCCTGGTTCTCCAGCAGCAGCATGGCCATGCCAGCCCTGGGCCAGGGTTGGAGAAGAAGGGGATGCAAAGGTCCGCAGGAGGGTTGCAATAGGGATCTGGGGGCAAGGGCCACATCCTGCCCCTCCAGCCCCAGCACCCAGCAGAGATGCTCAGTGAAGGTGCCCATTGGAGGGACTTGCTCCTCCTGCAGCCTCTCAGCTCCTGGATGCTGGGCCACTGCGTCCCCACAGCACCTGGACCCAGGGAGGTGGGACCTTAATGCAATCCCATGCTGGCCCTTGTTGTCCCTCGGCTCCATGGGTGCTGGGCTGGCACCAGACAGCCACCACTCCGGGGCACTGACACCCGGGGGTGCCCCTTGTCACCTACGGTGCACTGAGCCACTGTCCCAGCACTGTGCCAGCACCCATGGGGACCTCTTGTGCTGCAGGGAGAGGTGCTGAAGGACACCCGCTCTGCCCCTGTCCCTTGCCCTTCCTGCCTCCCTGTCCCTGTCCCACCCTGGGGACAGCCCACAGTGGGTGGGGCCCCAGTCCTGGTGCATGGGGCACCCCAGTGACCCCCCCAGCCCTGGCGGAAGCCTTACTTCTCCTCCAGCAGCTGCCGCTGGTACTCCTCAAACTCCTCACGGGCCATGTTGTTGGGCAGCGTGGCCGCCTTGCCATCCTTGGGGGGGCTCCTTGGGGGGCTCCTTCTCACCCCCCCTGCAAGCTCTTCAGGGCGGCCGTGAAGAAGGCGGCCATGGGTGGGCAGCTGTGGCAGCCTGTGTCCCACGGTGCCCGGCGCCACCGGGTCCCTGCCTGGGGCTGGCGCCTGCAAGGTCAGCGGGACCGGCTGCCCCAGGGGCATCGCGGATCAGGGGCGGATTAAGGCATTAGAAGGGAAGCCACAGCCACTGGGGTGGAAAGACCTTCCTGTGCCGCTTGCTGCACCCAAGGGTGCTTGGGGGTGACAGCAGTGTGGGGGGACAGCGGGGTCCTGCCCCGCTGAGGTGATGGGGAGGTGGAAAGAGCCACTGAGCCCCAGCGCACCCTGGATCAGGCTGAAAGTCCCCCCATTGCACAGGCCCCAATGGAGAGCAGCACCCACAGGGCTGGATCCTGCTGGGGGGAGCCCTGCGCTGTTGGCACCCAGAGCCACCCACGCCGGCACACAGGGGGGGGTTGGAGGTGCAAGAAGTCAGCGCAGAGGAGACACAAGAGGATTAGCCAAAAAAACCCAATCGAGGGTCAAAGGACTGGAAGGAAGACGAGGAGGCGGGCAGGCGCACACGCACACACACACACACGCGCGTGTGCAGCCCCGTGCCCCCATTAATCCCGGCTCCACCGAGATGTCGAGATTGCTTGGGAGCTGGCGGGGCCGGGGGCTTCCCGCTGCCAGAGGACGTGCCCCACTCCCATAATCTATATGCAAGCAATTCCCATACAGACTCTGATTAAAAGAATAATCCCCGGCTCCGCAGAGCCCCGAGGGGAGAGAGGCCAGGCTGCGCGCGGGGGGCTCTGAGGGCCAGAGCTCCCGGGGCCCCCCCCAGCCTTTCCCTGTGCTTTGCCAGGTCCTAAGTGAGGGATAGGCCTAATTTGAGCCCAGAGGCTTAAAGATGCTGTTGAACTAATTTCTTTGGTTTAATCAAAAAGCCCAAATCCGGGTGGTTTAGCTGGCTGCGCCCGGTGTCCCCGCGCGGGGCTGGGTGGCTGGAGCAGGGCTGCATCGGGGTTGAGGTTTCATCTTCCAGCAAGCAGAGATGTCCCGTCCTGTCCCCTGTCACCAGGAGGGGCAGCTTGAAGGGACCCCACGTGGGGCACCCACCATCCGGGGCTGAGTGTGGGGTGTGTGGGGCATGGCCCCGCTTTGGGGGCTGCTCTCCCCACCCCAGCAGGTCGAGGGAGATCAACTCCATGGGATCTTTCTCTGGGCTGTGTGGTGGGAAGAAGGACCCGTGCCAGGATGGAGGGAGGCTGTTGCCTCCTCTTTGGGTGCCCCAGGGGAGGAGAGAACCCCCTAAGCTGCTGCCCCATCTCCACTGGGAGAGAGCGGCACTGCGGGCCACCCCGCTGCCCGGCCACCCCTTGCTGTGCCGCTCCCAACCCTGGCGGGTCTGGGGGGCTTCTGGCCATGGGTCCTGGGAACGGGACAGGGGTTAAACGTCCCTCAGGCGCTTCAACTCCTTCTGCAGCTTCTCCGTGAGTTTCTTGAAGGACGGCCGCTTGCCTGGCTCCAGCTCCCAGCAGCTCTTCATCAGGGCATAGACGGCGGGCGGGCAGCCCTCGGGGGGCTCCATGCGGTACCCCTGCTCCAGCAGCTCCATCACTTCCTTCAGGCTCTGGCGGGATGGAGAAGCCAGCTGGGACCTCTCCTTCCCCGCCCCGCTGGAGACTCGCCCTGACCAGGGGACAGTGGGATGTCCCCATCCCATCAGTGCCAGCAGGGTGTGACCTACGGCATCGCCCAGCACAGCACTCACCAGCTTGGGGTAGGGCGCTCGTCCGAAGGAGAAGGCTTCCCACAGGAGGATCCCGTAGCTCCACACATCCGACTTGGAGGAGAATTTCTGCGGCAGCAGGAGAAGGGGAGGCTGAAGCTGGCCGGGGGGCCGTGCTGTGACCCCATCCCTCCCCAAGGACAAGGCAGGAGACAGCACTTGCCCCCTGCCACCCCGAGATCCCCGGGGTGCGACTCCCCTTCCCTTCCCATCACCCGCACACCTCTGGGTCCATCCTGCCGCATCCCGCCAGAGCTGCCCCAATCCCCGCTATGCACCAGGGTGAGGGCTGGTCAGGACAGAGCCCGAATTTCAGGAGATGCAGCGCTGAATGTGCCAGAAGCCACCACAGGGCAGGGACGGGTCGGCAGGAGGGGCGATGAGCAGGGGGGACCCAAGGGGGCGAGCTGCTTCAGGAGGACCCCCCAGCCCCACCTCCCTTCCCACCATCACTCACGTTGTGTTTCAGGGCCTCCGGGGCTGTCCACTTCACGGGCAGCAAAGTGGCATCTGCACCCTTGGGATTGACCCGGGCTAAGCCAAAATCGCTCACTTTGGCCACATTCTCCTCGGAGATGAGGATGTTGCGGGCAGCCAGGTCCCTGTGCACCAGCTTCTTGGACTCCAGGTAGTCCATGCCCTGGGCCACGTCCCTGCCACAGCCGAGCGAGGCAGAGCACAGTGTCACCATGTGTCTCCCGGGGCTGCCCAGGGGGATGCAGAGCACAGGTCCCCAGCCCGGAGGGAGGGAGATGGACTTACAGAGCGAACAGGAGGAGCTGCTGGGTCGGGACAAGCGCCCGGCCCCGCGTGCGCAAGAAGTTCACCAGGTTGCCCTGATAGAGGAGGAGAAACGTGTAAGGACCAACAGGACGGGGCTGCCCAGAGACTTTGCCTCCCACAGGGGCTGCAGCACCCGGCACCCATCCAACTCAGCCCCCAAATGTGGATTTTGTCCCCAAATCTGAGCGGTGACAGGTCCTCCTGGCTGAGGACCAGCCGGGTGCTCTCACCTTGCTCATGAACTCCATGACGATGTAGAGGCCGTTGTGCAGGATCACACCGAGCAAACATACCAGGTTTTTGTGCCGGACTTTCCTGAAATGGAGGGGATCCGGGTCAAGGGGGTGCCTTCTCATCCCTGGGTCATGGGGCAGGGTTGGGCCATATCCCCCCACGGGGCACTCACGTCATGGCAGCCGTTTCAGCGAGGAAGGCCTGGGCGGTTACGTCGCACTTGATGTTCTTCACGGCCACTTTCTGCCCCATATACTCACCCTGCAGGACATCTGGGAGGGGATGCTTGGGGTCAGGCTCAGCCCCACACCTGACCCCCTGTGTCCCAGGCTGAGTCTCCAATGCCACAGGACAGGGAGGAAACGTCAGGGGGTGCCATTTGGGGAAGCTTGCAGCCAGGGAACCTCCAATGCCATCTTCTCACCTACCTCCGAACTCTCCTTGCCCAATGCGGTCTCCCAGCATGAGGTGCTGCAGGTTCAGCAACCAGCCGGCTGGGCATGGGCACAAGGGCAGGTTAGCAGGGGCTACCAGTGGGGCCATGCTGCCTTGTCCCCAAAACCCAGACCACGACCCTCTCCTGCCGTCCCCTACCTTTGGCCAACTCCTCCTCGGCCGACTTCATCCCAGTTTTTGGTTTGGGCTTCACCAGCTTGGTGCAGATGGCTCCCTGCTCCTTCATGTAGTGCTGCCGAGGAATGGACAGACGGAGGCGATGCGGCGATGCCACCTCTTACCCCCAAGCTCAGGGCGTGGAGCCGGGAAACAGCCACGGGATGCTCCATGGGACCCCACCACCATCGCCACCCTCAAGGGGCCTGGAGCCCGGGCTGCACGAAATGCCGCGTTTCCCCCAGCGCCGCAATTCACAGCCCCTGTCTCAGCCCTGCTCCCCTCCAGGCACAGCCAGGGAAACACCGTGATGGACCATGAGCGACACAGGATGCTGCCGGACAGCAGCCGATGGGGTTAAAAACCCCAGCAGGCACTGCAGCAGCCGAGGGCGGTTTGCAGAGGCGACACAGAGCGGAAGCGGCAGGACAGCTGTCGTGGTTACAGAGTGGGGCAGCTGAAAGGGGAAATGACCCACCCGAAAGCAGAAGTTGTGTCTAAATGAGGAAAACTTATGAGAGTGCAACCCCCCAGAGAGGAGACAGGCAGCAGCTACGCGACAGGGTGAAGATGGACCTTGAGGGGGAGAGCTAACGCGGCAGCCTGGGAGCCCCGCAGGGTCAGCAGGCGAAAGCGGGGTTCACAGGGGAGAGAAACGCGGCAAAACGCCTCAAAGCCTCGGCAGGGCTCAGACCTCGTCCAGGGTCCAGGGGTGGCAGAAACATTTTTCCAAAATGCCCTAAGCCCCGCTGCTGCATGAAGCACCAAATGAGCAGGATGGGGGGAAAGGTGGCCCTGGGCAGGGGACCACGGCTGCTGCCGGCACAGCTGGTTTGAAGCAGAGGGCATCCCCGGGGCATCCCAGATCTGTCCACTGCACCCCAAACGGAGTGGGAATCACAAATCTTTGGCAGGGACAGAGAATTACACCAGGTAACGAAACCAAATGAAAACCACAGGAGAAAGGGACAAGGACCTGCCACTGCTCCGTGTGACCCCATGAGGTTTTTGCCCTCAGTCCAGCACTGGTGGGGCTCACTGCCCGGCGGGGGGGGGTGGTGTGTGTCTCACCTCGATCATGTCAATGAGGTTGGAGAAGTACTGCTGGCTGTCGATGCTGAGCGTGTTCTCCTCATGCATCACGCGGTAGTGGATCACCTCCTTGCCGAAGCTCACACAGAGCACGTAGTCACCGGGGTGCCGGACAGACTCACGCACCAGGAACAGCCCGTCCTCGGCAGGCTGCAGCTCCTGCACTGCCTCCACCCCCGAGATCTTCCCGTGGAACCAGCTGGGAAGAGGGGCATTGGGGAGAGGGGCCATGCCGGCGGGCTTCCCCCAGCACCAGCAGCGAGATGGGGAGAGCAGAGCCCCCGCCAAAGCTATGTAGACCCCATTGCATAAACCCCCTCCCTGCAAGGTCCATCCAAACTGGGTGGGCACAACTGGGGGACTTTAAAGCCAGGTGCTGGCCCCAGCAAATCCCTCCATCGCCAGGGCTGCTCTGCCCCCAGCTGCCCACCCAAAACCTGGCTGGAGGGAAACGTGCTGGACTCATCGGCTGTCACAGCTCCCAGGGGCTGAGCTGGGCCGCCGGCCCCCCGGGTCCCCCCCGGCCGTACTCACGGCATGAGGCTGAGCTTGGGGTCGACGCGGATGGCGCCGCGCTCCCGCAGCGCGCTGGCCGCCAGCAGCCCCTCCTGCCCCGTCTCGTTGTGCCTGGCGTGGTACCAGCCTTTGCCCTGGGGGTGAGAGGGTCTCAGAGCAAGGGAAGGAAGGGGGGATCCCACTGGGAAGGGGGGAGGCTGGCTCCGGTGGCTCAGCTGATGGCACTAGGGGCCTATCCACGCCCTCCCGCGGCAGTAAGTCCCCCAAGCACCCACTGGGCTCACCTCCACGGCCTCGATGATGGTGACCACGTCGCCCTTGCGGAAGGCCAGCTCCCGGGCCTTGGGCTTGGTGTGGTCGTGCTTGGTGACGCACTGCGTCCCGGGGGGCCAGTGTTTCTGCAAGGGAGAGGGCAGCATCAGCATGGGCAGCAAGAGCTGGCCCCCCTCCGCCTCCCACAGCCATCAGGGCCAGCCCCACGGACCATCT